TTTCTCAATTATCTTAATTTGACACTTCTCTCTGTTTCCTGCTATGACGCTTAAAGAGACAGAATCTGGTTCATCCAGTCCTAGTTGATTCTAGGTCAGAGAATTCTGGGGAGACATTGTCTCTTACCTGATTTCCCTGCTTCCACAGATTATGGCCCAAATCTTCTAAAGGTTTCCATCACACATATAATAAAACCTTTTCGTCTCCAATCTGAGTTTGACCTTGTCTTAGATAAATAAGGGTGTCATCTGTAAGTCTTGGAGTCATGAGCAAGAGCGGGCAGCAATTTTTACCTAAGTCACTTGGAGAATGGTGGTTCACTGCATTAACCATTTTGTAGAACACGAAGATTGAGGAACTTTTTCTGCCATTAATCTGTCCTCTCACAAAGCAGTGATGTCCTCAAGCTCTGCTGAGGTACATGGAGTTGTGACTCTCACATTGATGAAAACCCTGTAACAAGAACTGGGCAGAAATCTTCTGTATGAGAACCATGTTTCAGTACTAGAGGGTCCCTGAGGTCCTCTTCATCCTTAATATATTTTTATGGTTCTACATTTCCCATTCCCAAGAAATGGGCATAATCCAGCATGCTAGACAATAGAGCTTTTATTTGGACACTTCATGGGCCACTTTTAGTTTATTAGCTGATTCACACCATAGTTTTTAGTGCCTGACCTATAGTCTCCAGAAATGTTAGCTAGCATTTCTAAGAGGGCCTTCCTGATACCCTTACCTTTATACCCTATGTAAAAGCCTTCCCTTGTGTCTGGACAGGACCTATAAGTGCGATGGGTTCCATTCTGATGATTAAGTGACCTTATATGAAAGAGGTGAGATTCTGTAGATACAATTGAAGTTCTTACTTAGTTTGCTTTAATGTTTATTACAAGGAGGATTGACCAGGGTGGGCCTGACTTATTCAGGTGAGCCCTTTAACAGAAAGTCTAGAGCTAAAAGATCTCTCTTCCTGCTGGCCTTATAAATCCAAGCTACATTGAGTTCTACAGCAGCAAGGAAATTAATTCCACCACCAACCACTTGAGCTTGGAAGAGAACCTGGACCTCAGAGAGGTCTGCAGCCTCAGCCAACAACCTTGATTGCTGTGTCAGTGAGATACTGAGTAGAGAAACCAGTTGAGACATGCCTGAACTCTTGAAATAATAAATGGGTGCTGCTGTTTTAAAGTGTTAAGTTTGTGATCATTTGTTATGCATCAGTAGCAATACCATACAGCATACTACTTGGACTTTAAAGGATGAAAGAACACACAATATTTGCAATGCCTGGGCTCCCACAAACTCAATCACCTTATTATAATTACTCCATCCTACTATGGAAACCATCAATTTGTACATTGCTGAGCTTTAGGAAATAAAATACACAATATGAGCCTAATGTGTGCAGGGCTATAGAAGCAGTCTATCCCGACACTTCTCTATCACTTTCTTAACTCACGAGAGAAGCATATGGTTTTTGATTTTTTTAAAAAAGGATTTCATGTTTAAAACAAAACAAAGCAAAGAAAAAAATGCCATCAAAACCTAAACTTATCCAGGAGTATATAGTTGGGTCAATTTTTCTTTTTTTACTTATGGTATTTTAGTACCTTACTGTATAAATAAATGCAGCAAAATAGTGATGGTATAATGCCTTTCACTTGTGAGTGATTTATACTTTTAAAAGTTCATTATATATGACCTTCACAATATATTGTCATTTCAGTTATTATTCAATAGTCAAATGCAACCTGCCAGGCAAGTAGATTTAAATTTTAAAATACTATTCTTGGACAGTTACTATTTTTATACACCCAGGAAAATGGATTCTTAACAGAACTCTGCAATGATCCCTCCCCTTGTATGTGGGGAAATTGAGATTCATTCCTATCTTTCTGACCCCAGAACTGAAGCTCTTCATCTTACCACTCTGATTTTCTCCCTCAATTTCTTCTTCAAGTTTTCCTTTAGCTACTTTGTACAGTTTTTTTTTTTTCAATAGTGGAGATTAAATTCAAGATTTTGTACTGGTTAGGCAGGTGCTCTTCCGCTTGAGCCACACCTCCAGCCCTGTTTGCTCTGGCTGTTTTTGAGATAGGGTCTCACTTTGTACTAGGGCTGGACTGGCTGGACCGAGTTCCAACTATTTATGCTTCCTGCATTAGCTGGGATGACGGGTGTACACAGCATGCTCACCCAGCCTTTTCTGTTGAGATGGGGTCTTGAATTTGTCCAGATTGGCTTTGAACTGCAATTGTCTGGATCTCTGCCTACTGAGTAGCTAGGATTATAAGCATGAGCCACTGGTACCCAACTTAATTCTTAAATGTTAACTTTCATTTTCTTAATTGATTAATCAGTCTGCGTATAGCTATAAATTGACCTCTTGAGTCCTGTTTCATCACAATAAAATATGGTTCATTATGTGGAATTCCCGATGTTATTTTTACTAAGTAGTCTAAAATTGCATTATCTTTTTCTTCGTTTGATCTGAGTTATTTAGAAGAATTTTCTTTCCCCAATGAGCAAGGTTTGTGATGTTGTGGTTTATATATTTGTAAATAGTGTTAATTTTATTGTATTATGATAAAGTGTGATATTTACCATTTCTGTACTTTGTAATTTACTTAGTTTTTCTTCAGTATCTTAGTATGTCATTTGTTTTTATAAGCATTTTATAGATTTCTAAGATGATGTATTTTCCATGTGTAAGCATCATTTACTTACTAAATCCATTTTTAATATTGTTTGAACTCTTCCTATACTTGATCTGTCAAAGATGATGATATAGGTGAGCTGTTTTTAAGAAAACTGGCTGTGACTGCCCTTTCATTTCCTACAATTCTTGTGTTGTTTATGTCAATACTATGCTATTGTTTACATAAAGCTCCATTCTTGTTATAGCTACATTGTGACTATATTTTATAAATATAAAGTGATACTCTCTTGTCCTTCCTAATCCTTTTAGTCTTAAACTTCGAAGTTAATATTCTTTACTTTATTCTTTTTGCTCAAATGTTTGTGTTCTTGTTATTTTGTTTTTAGCCTCTTTCTCCCTCGCTTCTAGTTGTGGACTTGTAGCTTTTTTGATATTTAATTTTGGATATGATGCTTGCAAATAGAGTTGATTTTGTTTCATTAAATTTGAGAGGTTTTTTAATTAATAAGAAAGGTAATGATATGTTCCATTTTTCGTTGTCTTTGTTCTTGGTTTTCTTTTTTGAGTCAGGGTCTTACAGCCCAGCTAAACTGGAATTCACAATCCTCCTGTGTGTAATGTGTTTTATGAATGTCTGATTATTTTGCATTTAGAGTGTCCACAAGACAACCATAGAGAAACACCAAGAAAATTAATAAACATAGAAACATAAATCCGAGAGACACCAATGCATGATGGAGGTCAAATCTTAGGAGTGATCTGGGAGGGACTGCTTAGAGCAGAGGTCTGGAATCTTGTGGCTCTGAGAAGACAGAGGTTGCCAGAAATTCTGATATAGCATGGCAGTGGCAGTCCCCAGGAACCTGCATTCTCTTTTTAAAGCTTCCTTCGAAAGATTTGTAAAATTGAGTATTAAGTGAAGAACTCACATTACGATGCTCTCGTGATGTTCCTGTTATGTAAGGAAGCCTTACATCTATATGTCCACAGGTTTGTTAGTAGGGATGGGAGCAAGGTCATCAAGTGAGACTGTCATGCAGATTTTGAAAGGGTGGGGATGTAATGAGAAGCTAGCAGAAAGTGAGGGGACAGAGAACGTTGGACAGCAGTGCACGCGACTGGAACTCTTCTTGCTCAGTAACTGGAATGTAGACATGGTGATCATGGGAGTTGGTTAATCGAGTTGGGTGAAGCAAAGGACAATGGTAGGGACACTAAGGGCAGTAAAGATCTGTTGTCTAGCTAGCTATGGTCCCTGTCTTTCAATTTTCCACTGCCCTAACCATTTTTCAATATAGGAACTCTTGACTTCAAAATCTTCAGTCCCTTCTACCACCCAACCCTTAACCTGTAACCCAAGGGACAGCACTTCAGTCACCCTCTTGCTGGTAGCCCTCAGAAAATTAAATTACTAGTTTAAAATCACACAAGTAATAAATAGAGGCCAAAATGTGAACTTGGGTCAGTCTTGAGTGCTTTCTTAACCATAATTAGTGGCTTCTTTGGCAGACATGGTGATGTCCCTCCCCAACCTTGTTTAATGTAGGATACGTTGATCCTGAAGCTGGGAGTGCTGTCAGTAGATACACCTCAGCTCACAGACTCTTCAGAGATTGCGTCAGTAGCACAGGGCTGCCCAGCCCAAGGTCACACTCCCTCCTGGGCAGCCCACACCAATGACTGATCAATGTGGGGGGACAAAGGCCTAGCACTCTTCTTGGGCTACTCCAAAAGGACATTCTAGCTCCAGAGCTCCCTATGAGGATGTCCTGGAGTTCACATCACAGCCCACCATTTCCCTCCTCAGCTCTTCCAACTTTCTTCCTCTCCTTCCCACAGGTGTTGATCCCCAGGACACTGTATACAGGTAAACTGTCTCAGAATCTCTTTCTAGGGGAACTCAACACACAACAGCCTGGCAAAGAAAAAAGGCAGAGATTCCTGCTACAGAAGCCACATTACTTTTCACCTTTCCTAGAGACTCTGACAAGTGAGAAGCATCTGGCCTAGAAGAAGCTGGGTGTCCTTTGGCAGGTCAATAGTCATTTGGGTTTTAGCTATATGAAGCTGAAGAGAGGAGGTTAATTTGGAGCCAAATTAAGTACAATAGCCCTGGATTTGGAATAGGAAAATCCAGTTGTTTGCACTTTGCTCATTGTCTCTGTCTAACTCCTACCATCCTTTTGAGCAGAGGCTGGATTTGCAAATCCTAATCTTGAAACCCAGCTGTAAACATCCTGCAGGCAAGGCCACTGATTGAAGTGCTCAGGCTCACATCTGATGTACACAGTGAATTTAATGACGGAAAAGTAAAAATGAAAACGACCTAGGCCAAAGAAATGAATTTTAGTGCTTTTATTTCAGGTTGATTTTTCCCATGTTTTCTCAGAACAGTCAAAATATGTCAGGAAAAACAAGCTGTTCATCAGAAAAATGATTTTTTGTTGGTTTGCCAATATGATTATGTATTGTAGATATACTTACAAAAATGAAAGACTCCAAATTTTGCAAGTTTCTCCTCTTTGCATTTTAATTATTCTTTTAAGTCCTATAATCACTATAGAAAGTAACTAAATACGTGATTCAGAATACATTTTTAACAGTGGTTTGAAAATCTTTGGTATTTAATTTTTAATCAGGCAACTATTTTGATTTCATCTATGCTAAGTACTTAGAAGGAAAAAAACATACAAAGTAATACCATAATGGAAATTTTAAAATGTGTAGCAGGGAGGACAATTACTGTTTCTATGCTAAGAACAGAACAATATTTCATTTAGTTGGAATATATGTTGCCTTCTTACCTAGTTAATATACTTTCAGTCAGCAGCAAATTCAAGCTGTTTGTTATCAACAGTCACTGAGATCACTCTAAGTACATTATCTGTTACATTAAATAAAACTTGTTTAGGTAACTGCTTTAAACATTCTGTAGACTCAAGTCCTTCTTAAAGTTTTCAGTTACTGAGTTTTAGATCTTCTTTGTACACATAAACCTCTTGGGAGGCCAAGCGGAATCATGCCTCCTACCCAGTTGGTCTTTTCCTTTGATAACCACCCATGGTCACTGCACCAGACTGTCAATAAGCATTCATTGAGGGCCTGCTGTGGGGCTGAGGCCTACAGCATGACCTAACAGCCATCACCATTAGAAACAAAATATGCTGAGAAGCAAATTGGTGTTTTTCATGAGCATAAGTCAGCCTGAATTTGATTAATTTCTTGTTTATCAACAGCAATAACAAAAATGTTTCTCTAGGAGTAAGTAGCATTGGCTTTGATGCTCCTTTAAGCTGACAGGAAAAAAAAATGCCTTCATTAACTAAATAATTTTTTAAAAGACAAAATTTATGTAGAATCTGGTAGGCTAGTCTCCAGAGGCTTGTATGTCCAAAGATCAGATTTTACAACACAAGGTACTGGAACCTATTTCTTAATTATTCATATGTTAAAGTGTATTCTTATCTTTCATGTCTTAAGAGTAAAATGTCAGAACATTTTTGTGATTTCCTCTAACCAGTAAGACAGGAGGGAGGTTCTTTGTCAGGATTTCCAACCAAGTCATGTACAACAAATCTGATATAGATCCTTTTCTTGCTACTGGAAGGCTCCTGATGACCACATGGAAGAAAAATTTAAAACCAAAGTGAAAATTACAAGAGGTATCAACATCATTAGCATTTCTAAACTATTTTATAATAATAATAATAATAATAATAAAAACAGTGTCTGGAAACTTTTATCACATCCCCACAAAATGAGAGCACTGAAGTTATTTTGAATAGAGATGTTAGGCTGATACATTTCTCAGATAATACAAATACCTATTTAGCAGAGGAATAGGCTTAGACATTGTAAAGACAAATTAAAAATGTAAATTCTGTAATTTCTTTAAATAGAGTTTTATCAACTGATACTTAACTCTTCTTTTGGAGGAAATTATTTTTTTTTCCCCTGAATAATTTAAAGCTCTTATACTTGGAAGATAACTCAGAACTAATTTTTAGAACTCTAGCGTGCAGTTCAGGAGATTATTCTACAATGTCTCAGAGGGATAATCTTCTAGTTTAGACCATGTTTAAATATGTTATCTTCATGTACAGGTGTCAGTTCATGAGGTAAAAGTAAATAGAGGTTTCCCATTTTCACCATCAATCTTTGTTCATTTTTCTTGTTTGTTTTTTTGAGACATAGTCTCACAGTGTAACACATACTGGCCTTGAACTTGCAATCCTCCTGAGTGCCTTGAACTAGCCTCCTGAATGCTAGGATTATGGGCGGGAATGCTCACACATGGCTTTTACGGCCAACATTATTTAAATGAACATTAATATTTTCATAGGCACGCTGCTAAAATTTATAGGACAAACAGGGAAAGAGTGAACATGGAAGAACCCAGGACCTTTTTGTCATGGTGGCCTCTTCCCACATTGCAGCAAACCCATGAATCTGAAAAGGTATGTGCCAGCTCAGGAAGATGCCTAGCCTTACAGGCTGACTTGGGGCTGTTGTCAGGGACTTCCAGGGTCTCAGGTTCTTGGAGCCTGAGGCTAGCCTGGGACATGTCCCTCTGCCCCCGTGGGTGTGTTATGACTGGTGCAAGGCCCTCTAAAGCCCCTGCACCCAGTTGTCAGGGTCTCAAGGTAATACCTCCTTTCCTTATCTAAAATCCCACACAGTCTGATTTCTTTCTTTCTTTTTTTTATAATTCCCATCTGAAGAATCATGAGCTTTTAAATTGATTAAGCCTTGTACCCTAAACCTACTCTCTACCATTCCTAACTGCCTGCAGTGAAACTTACAGGACGATGAGGTTGGCAGCTCTTGAATGCTCCTGTAAGAGTTCATTCAGTCGAACTTGGCGGTAACTCTGTGGACAACATTTAGATTTTGTTGAGTACATTTCTACCAGCATTTTGAATGAGAATTTATCTTATTATTTCAAATCATGCACAATGAGAAGACCTCATTTTAAAAAGTTATTAAAGAGTAATTAGGGTATAGTTTAAAAAATTAAAACAATGTTTTTAAACTTCTTGAGAAACTTTGAATGTAAAGAATAAGACTGGACTGTAATTGTACTATAGAAACTTATTAAGTTTTATGGGGTAAAAAGCAAGCAACATAAATAGCAATACAAACATGAGAATGCCCAGTTTTGAGGAACAGGCTTTTGGTTAAAGAACACTGATTGGTGTGGAATCTAGACCCTAAATGATGTGTAATGCAAAAGGGGGACTGCTGGGATCAGTGGGTAGGGAGGAGGAGGGAAAGAAAGGATACTGAGGGTGAAGAGGACTGAAGTATGATATTTACATATGAAGACAGTATAATAAAACCCACCAAATACCTTGAAAAAGGGGGAAGGAGTGAAGGAAGATAAGGGAGCATAAGGGAGGGTGTGAACTTGTTCAGAGTACACTGTACACATCTATGAAATGTATCACAGTGAATCACCTTCATACTATCAATGTGTGCAAATTAAAATGTAAAATAAAAAATAAAAAAGGATTGATTGAATCTTGATACCAATTTTGTATCCTAAGAAGATACGTTATATCTTACTCTACTTTTTTTTTTAAAGCTTTTGATATGTTATTAGTGCAGGGGACTGGTTTGAACTAAAGAGCCACCAGTAAAATCACTTGAAAACTATTTTGTAGTGAAGAGCGTAATCTTTATTTTTATTTTTCACTGGTTCAGAAACTGAGGTTCAAATGTATGATCTACTCAACTATATGATACACCTTTATTGGGACTGAGCAGTGTATTACATGGAGAATTTATGATTCTTTGTTCAGTATCTTTTATTACTAAATCTGAAAAATTTCAATATTTCTCTAAATTTTACAAACTCAGCTCTCAGTCCCTAATGTAGTTTATGAATTTTGTGGTTCAGAAGTTCCTGTGATCCTTTTCCTTTAACATGCAAGTCAGAGGTCAATTCTACCTAATTCTGAGTTCACTATCACCAACTTTATTCAGCTCAGTCCAGGACGGTAATTCTTGATAGGGTTCTTCTCTCTCTCTGTCTCTCTGTCTGTCTCTGTCTCTATCTCTCTGATAAGGTCTCATTATGTAGCCTAGGCTGGCCTCAAACTCATCATCCTGCATCAGCCTCCCAAGTGCAGCGATAATATACATTCGCCACCAAGTCCAGCTCCTGGTGAAGTCTGTAAGAAAACTCGCCATTTTATGTCCATCTTCAATGTGTGACAGGTCCAACTTTTATATTCATTGCTCCAAATACATCATAAATTTTCTTAGGTGCTTTGTTAGCTTTTCACAGCTATCTTCATCAGGTTAAAATTCTTTATTATTGTGTTAAATTTGGGTCAATTTACCTTTCTCTACATTGTACACAGTGGCAAACTATTTTAGATTAATAAAAATAAAGTTTGAAAGGAGACTTCACAAAATGGAACAATAACCTGTTTTGTTAGCTTGAGAAAATTACTTTTCTAGAAAAAAAATGAGAAAAGTTTTCTAAATCCTCAAATCTAGTAATGTGATTAAAAGCCCCCTGAAAATGCAGAAACCCTTGGATCTTGCATAATAAAATTTGATAATAGGTACTGTTGATTTTTAAATCAACCACTGTTTCCTTTTTCAGCTAGTGAGATAGAAAAGTCAAAATGAAGGAAGACAATTCCTTACCTTTTCCTTGACTGCTTCCAGTTCTGTGTCTGTAATTTTCCATGGACTTTCTCTTTTTAATTTCTCAGCAGTGGGTAAATCTTTGCAGCTTTCATGGAGACGATATGGTTCAGTCATCTCTTCAAAGACTTTCCAGCTGAAATTGGAATTGTAAAGGAGGCCTCACAGTAGGAAACTAACTCATTATTTCACAGATACTCCAGGTATGACTGGCTCTGATGGCCATGGAATCAGAGCTGAATGTCATGCAAATCTTTTAAGAATCATTTTTGCAGGGGACTTACTGTTAGTGAAACTACAGTTATAGTACTCCCTCCCTCTCCAAGGGAAGGACTTAATGTGTTTGAGGCCTTGTTAGCCTATGAGGTATTAGATCTTCAGTATTAATGAGCATGATAGTAAACATTCCACATGATATAGTCAAAGACACAGTTGTAATGTATGCACTTTAGCCCATACATGACTTTTCGTCTGCATGTTGTACAGACCTATGAGAGACATTCATCAACAACTGTAGAGATGAACTAAGTCCATAAGGAGTTGGATAAGATAGCCCTCACATGGCAACACCCACTTATGCCAGGAGTCTGTGGGAAGGTAGGAGAGTACTAAGCATTTCCACAAGTTTAATTGTTCTAGAACAATTTGGATGTTTGTTGCAAATAATGATGCCTTTGTCCTGGTGTTTGATAATACTGTCGGAAATTTTCAAATGACTATTATTCAGGTGCATGTTAAGGGAACGAACAAAAATCAATAATGTTTTAATGGTGAGAAATCTGAGGCCATTTTAGGACACTTAAAAATAAATCATTGAGAAGAAAACTAGAAGTAGTGTCTAAGAGCTATATAGCACATTTAAAAAATTGCAGAAAAAGATCGCATTCTTGTCTCTTACATAAGAATCTCGTAAGATTTATTTTTAAAACAATAGCACAAAGTAAAGCATATAATTTATGGTAGGAGTTGTCTTCAGTATGCTGCTTTAATGTGATTTCAAGTATGAATAATTTTCTTTGGTTTTATAGAATGTAGCTTACTTATAATTTAGTAATTTTGAAATGAATGATAATTAGAATCCATATGCTGTTAAGAAATTAAAATATGAAGTGATGAGTTTAATTATCTCATCAGTTGGCCTGATTTAGGATTTGCAGATAAAAATACAGAGATTACAAAGGAATAAAATTGTCCCTGCCAGTGAGTCTTTGTTAAGGGACTGAAGAGATCCTTAATGCAATAGATTTCATTGTATTGACTTAGGTAGAAAGGCAGATGGGAGACAGGGAAGAAGTGGGACTGAGGTACCCTATTATTCTTTCAACCATATACAACACTTTTATTTGCTTTAGAGAGCTGTGGCAGTGGTCAGTACGAAGCGAAGGTCTGTTCTCAAAACCTGGATTTTTGCTTTAGCTCTTCCATCGTCCTGGCCTTCCCTATACAAAGGATGGCCATTGCTATTCAGAGCTATGTGAGAGTCAGCATGATGACCTGGGTGACAGTGCTCTGAAAAGTGTGCAGTGCCTTATGAACGGGAGATATTCACTTCACAGAACAGCCACAGGATTGAGGATTGAGGTTAAAAAGAGGCTGTCTTTTTAAACTATTTTGGTCAGGGTGAGAGGTTCTTTCCCTCTCAGCCTAGATCCTGACTAGAACTAAACACAGAACAAAAGTATCCTTTTAAGAAACAGAAGGTGGAGTGGAGGCTTGTGGTTGTCTCAGCAGCATTCATATTAACGCTTTTCCCAACATCAACCAACCCTAGCACAATTCTACACCTTCTGTCAAAGCAATTGGCCAGGACAGACAACTAACTCAGGCAGGCTTTGACTAAAAGGCACCCGTTGTTATGCTGACCACCATGAGTGACTCAGTGGCTTAGGTCAATGTATCCTGAATGGAGCCCAGGACCTGAATTTAATGACTGGAGAAAAAACCAGACATACTTCGTCTTCTACTGAGCATATTATGAGCAAGCTATAGTCCTGGTTGCTACTGGCAGCTATATTGCTTTTATAAGCTTTTGATCAATCACTTTTGATTAATGATTTCATACTGGAAGCTAGAGAGAATAAGAATCTTAAATTACAAAATTTACCTTTAGGTCAAGCATAGCTTGAAAGCCAAATTATATTCATTTTGTTTAGTTATTTATGACAATATTTGCTATCACCTAAGTCACCGTGAGGTGTTCCTTTACTTGCAATCGAAATGTGTTAAGTGGCCCAGTAGGTTATATATAGGAATGGGCAGTATTTAAAACTCTTACTGCTCCTTGTCTGTGTTCATCTTTGATTTCCTCATCCTGCAAAGCTCAGCCCTCAGCTGGCCATTTTCTGTTCTCCTAGCTAGGTGAGCCTAAGGTAGCTCCAGATTTACCTTTTGATTCTCATTAAATATGATTTTTCTTATAAGTAATTTTTAATTGACTCTAAGCTATAACATATAATCAATTTTTGAATCAACTAATAACGTCTGCCTTCCCCTTTTCGTCTTGAAGTTTTGGAACTCGGGGAAAGAGGGAAGTTTTAAAATCTTTTTAACTGCATAAGGATTTTTCCATGGTCCACATAAGATTTCCTCTTTCAGAGTGATGTACGATAGTTGTTTTTTGACTACTCTAGCATCTTTAAACTAAATTATCTAGTTAATTGCTTCTAGTTTCTCTTTGATTCCATATAAAGATTGTTGGCTTTTTGGCCCATGACTTTTAATTCAGTCTACACAATAAAAATGGAATTTAACCACAAGAGCTTTTCAGTTTCTCCTGGCTCAATTATTTTCTCATTAACTTTGCTTTTGTACTCCTTTTCACCCTTGCCCTACCATATTTATAGATAATGTTTCTATGACAAAAATGCCTCTATCAAGTCTTACTGATGTTTCCTAGAGAGTTGAAAGAGTTCCTAAAAGCAATTTAGGGGCACTGAACATTAGCCTCCAACATGGAAATCATTGGTAAACTATTTTTCACATTGTGTATGACCAAGAAAGAAGAATGCTCAGGGGCTAGAGTTAATGGTGGATAAGGACTGCCCAGCCAGGAGAACCCAGGTAGGAGCTGAAATTGGGCCAGTGTTTGTTACGCTCTCAAAGCCTTAGCCTCTGGGCTGGGGCAGGGAGGATACATCAACCTAGAAGAGTTCTCTTTCTCTAATTGAACCACCCAGAAGAGTTGCCTTGTGTAAGCTAACACAAACTGCAAGATGTGCTACTAGAGGTCATATATGAGATGTACCACATGACCACTCTTTGTTCTAAGATAGGGTTACTTTCAAATATTGGAAGAGCCATGGCCAACATCAGATATGCAACTGTTTTAAAAGTGGCATCAGTTACAGCAGAAGGTTGGAGAGGAGAATGGCTCTTCCAGCACCACCCCTTCTGGCAGATGGCCTCTTTTCCTTGAACCAAGGTCCATTAGCCAAAGGATTCTTTTATTTCAGTAAAGATGGATTTTTTCCCCCTGCATCTTCTTCATGACCTTGAGATAGCAGAGAGGAAATGTCCAAAACTTTGAACTAGTTCATTATTTTCTGAAGTAGGAAAGTAATTGTCTTCATTGAAGGATGATGAAGCCATGTGAGAAGCAACAAATTAAATTGGTCTCTAAAATCAGATTTAGATGCCAGGATAAAAGAAAATGCCTGGGTACTTCATTTCTTACTACTGCCCACAGACTTTAGCTTCCTGAGAATAGGGTAGCATGGGACAATGGTCAGATTAGTAAGATTAATTGACAAGTAGGTACTCAAAGAGGCCTGGTTAATGGAAGTTGTACAGCAACACACTCATTGACAGACAGGAAAAGAAAGGATTACACAGGATGATGATCATAGCAGCTGGATAGAGACTAGTATGAAAGAAAGAGAAAGAAACAGAATTTGAGTAAGGAAACCAGTTTGATGGTTAAAAAACAAAACCAAAAAACCCCACAAAACAATATAGAAACAAGTTCGTTGGTAAGCATGATAGCCCTTTGCTACTAAGATGAACAACAATAAGAAAAATTTGGCTGTAAGAAATGGATGACTAATTGTATTCACCATTGAGCCAGGGATTATAGAAAGTACAAAGTCAGACACATGGCAGCTGTGCTCTAGACCACAGAAAATGGACCTATCTTGCAAGGCAGTGACAGCTCTGTCCTGTCACTAATGGCACATGCTAAGGAACTGTTGGACTTGCTGTGTTAATGAAAGAGAATGCATTCCCACCAATTCGAGACATAAGATGAGCCTGTTTGATCATGTCACTGAAAATATTAAGAGGCAGTGACTTAGGGAATTAAAAGGCTTCAAATAAAAAGTAGGCTACCAGAGATTACTATATGACAATTCAGTTCTTACCAGAATGGTAATTTCATTTACCAAGAGGAATTAAAAATATGGTGCTAGTTTTCTTGAGTATTTGTAACTACAGAAATAAAAGAATGTAAGTATTAGTGGGATGTATGATATAAGGAAATATTACAAAGTATAATTAGGTTAACACTGGAAATTTTAGCTTTCTCATCACAATTAAGGTGTTTTATAAAGCCATTGTAACTGACCTCATAGCTGGGGAGAAATCATTAATACCCTAGCAAAATATGAAGTTCACATTTGCTCAGTAACAGTGCATCTGAAATTTGAATATTTTAGTTTAGTTATCAAGTTCATATAGGAAAACAATAAAGTAAAAGAAGGGAAGAGGCAAGAAGACTTGAGCAATGTGGAATTACAGCTCAGCAAAAATGCCAGAGAAAAAAGAAATAGTGATCAAAGAAAAGGGAAAGAGCTGCAACAGGACAGTAATACTTAAGTTGTTCTGAAAGCTTCCTGTCCCTTTACATGCTTACCCTTGGAGCATAATTTGTTAAATTGTAAGTCTAAATAGTTCATTTCATTTATAATTGGCCATGATTCCAGACAATTTCCTTGAACCTTTGGGATCTCTTGTGATGATCTAACCTACAAATTTTCAAATTCCATTGTTACGGACTGAATGTTTTTGTTCTACCAAAACTCATATGTTGATGCCTAAACCTTCAATGTGAAGGTATTTGGAGGTGGAGACTTTGGGAAGTATTTAGGTGTAGATGAGGTCATGAGGATGGGATTAGTGTCCTCATAAGAAGAGAATAGAGACCAGAATTTTCTTTTCACCTTGTAAAGACAAAGAGAGGAGGTGGCCATCTGTATGCTAGAAAGAAAACTCACAACAGATACTGAATCAATCACCACTTTGATCTTGAATTTCCCAGCCTCCAGAACTGTGAGGAAGTATCTGTTGATCAGGCTGCCTAGTCTGTGGCTCTTTGGCTAAGACAATAATGGAGTTGATAAATTTGACAATAAGGATTAAAACGATGCCATGTTTTTAAGACATTTAAATGATTACTTCAGTTTTGACATTTACTTATTTTCTTTTGGAGTCAATTTCCTTTGCAGGATTCAGGTCATGTTAGAGGCTCCCTCAAACGTGCACAGGCCCTAAGCATTGAGCCCTCAGAGCCTAAAAGCTAAAATGGCTCTGGAGCATTGGTACTGCCATTGTGTCAAGAAGACACAGCTGTTTGCACATCTTCTCCATCACAGCTCCCCTCTCTGGTCCAGGATTTCCCAGCAGGAAACTTAAATAAGAAAACACATTGGCTCCTCAGGTCAGAATAGTCAAAGCTTGTGCTTTCTGTTACTCTTTCTAATTTGGAAACCAAGAATAGAAAAAATAATTCTAAACTGCTAACTTACCTGTGTTTCAACAATTCTCCCTAACAAGTTCACTTTCATCGCAAAACCTTTTCTTCCCATTAGAATGTACTTCATAGTTCTATGTCATGCTTATTTGAAAGCCCTTCTTTTTACATCCTATCAAGAAGTCACTGCAGTAATGCTTCACATTTTCACTCTTTGATAACCAACACAAAAGAGAGTGAGTGAATACCCACAGGTAATCAATGGATCTTGTTACAAGTTTCATACCTCTCTTTGTTTGGCTTAATGTTGATGTCACCAATGATATGGATGTCTGCAAATTTTATTCTAAATTTGCTCAGAAGAGAAGCCATTCTGAAAATAGAAGAGAAAAATACTTCATCATTGCATATTTAACTATTTTCAATCAAAGGTGTTTTGTGTTTAAGGCAAGCTATCAAAAGCAATTGAGTCTTATTTCAGCCTATCTTTCAAACAGAGGCTTTTTGATTTTGATTTTCATTATTGTACTTGTTGGACACATTAAATGTGTACCAAGCTATTTCACTAAAGGTATAAAGAAACTCTTGTCACCAAGTGAACATATCTGCAATTCCAGTACTCTGGAGGTTGAGGAGGAGGGTCCTGAAGTTGAGGCCAGCCTGGGCTACAATCGTGAGTTGAAGACTGGTTTAGGCTACATAGCTAGACCCTGTCTCAAAAAACAAAGAACATCAACTCCTATAGGTGCAGACGCTAGAAGGAGCAAACCCAACTCTGCATTTATCTTTCAGGGGAGAGAAACTGTCCACATTCTGAAATCGACAACAAGTCTAAATAATAATGACTAATTATAATGACTATTATCTTACTGATAATTTTTACAGAGTTACTGACAAACTAATAATTATCATATATTGTATGGTTATATATTAGAGATTTTTTCCCCAGGCAACTGATTATTTGATATAATTTCAAAGTTACAGAAATGTTATAGGGACGGTGTAAAGAACTCCTAGATTCACTAGTTATGTATATTTTGCTATATTTATTTTGTCATTCTCTTTGTCTCTTTATCATTTATCTATCTATCATGTATATGCTATTTTAAATTAATCTGCAAATATCAGCCTCCTTTATCTAAATATTTTGGTGAGCAATTCTCTAAGAATAAGGACACTCTAATACAAGCAGCACAATTTTGAAATTAAAAATTTTAACATTGATACCACACTATCATCTAATCCTCAAATCACCTTTAAATTTTCTCTGTTGCCCCAGTAAAGTGCTGGAGGCTTTAAGAAATATTAATTATTGGGTTGGGGATGTGGTTTAATGATAGAGCATTTGCCTAGTTTGTGGGAAGTCCTGTGTTTGATCCCCAAGTCACACAAAAAAGTATAAATTATTATAGATATAATGTTAGTTTCCATTTTAACATACTTTCTTTATGAGAAATTAAATATATATTAATGTATGGATATATTTTAATTGAAAACAAATATATTTCTGTACTTACAAATAGACGACTATATGTGTTATATCAAAATTATATCCTCCTAAGAGGGAGAAGAAGCTGAAAAATCACTGAATAAAAGTCCTGCCATTATTTTGTGATTTCTGTAAGTCAAGGGGCTCAGGACTTCAGCATGGTACAAAGGACCAAGAACTGCTACAGTGGCTCTCCAGGTCTCCACCAGAGACCTCTGAATGTGCCATGTTCTTGGCATACTCGTTATTCTCATCCTACATATCAGCTCTCAGAGGCTAAATTAATGTAAAATATACCAAGATACCCTGTGGGACTTTTTTCACTTTTTAATTAGAAGAGTGCTCAACACTCATCCATTTAAACTTTTCCAAACTGCAAGCAAGAAATTGTGACCCAGATATGCTTAGTGACTGTTAAAAGACTTGCTGCTCCATGGTGGTAGGGTGGGGGCTGGGTCCTGGAAGAGCTCTGTTTAGTTTTTTTACACATGCTGTGCTAAGAGTGACTGCCATGAGTTAGCACATTGGGATTCTCCTGGAGAAACAACTGCACACAGATTCCTTTAGGATCTTCTTTTCTTGAATGCATGTACTAGTCAGAACAAAATAAACATTACATAAGATAGTGACACTCCAAATTCCTTTTCTTTTCTTTTCTTTTTTTTTTTCTGAGGTATAGTGATTTAAACTCAGGGCCTCACACTTGCTAGGCTGGTGCTCTACCACTTGAACCATGCCTCCAGCCCTTTTTGGCTTTAGTTATTCTTCAGATAAGGTCTTGTGTTTTTGCCTGGGGCTGGCTTCAGACTATGATCTTCCTACCTATGCCTCCTGCATAACTAGAATTATAGGTGTGCACCATCACGCCCATACCCCTCCCTGTTTCCCCCAGCCCCAATTCCTTTTTGAAAGTATTTGTGGCAGGGGATAAGAGAACTTGAAGACAGTGATTAGAAAAATTATGCAAAGAATTTATTGGCCAGAAAACCAACTAATTATAAGGCCTGTCATGGTGGTTTTGCTCTTAAATCTATTGTGCCTCAAAGATGCTGTTAAAATCAATGCATGAAAGCCACAAGCATTGAAATGACAAAACAGTTGAGTGATAAAGCACTTACGCAATTTTTTCTTCTTCAATACGGTTAATCTTTCCTCCAACATAGATTCTTAATTTGCAGTCTTTCCATTTTTTTCTGAGAGTCAAGATGTAGGGGATAAGGAGGGTTAACCCTGGAATACAGAATAAATTATGACTTAAAGGATGAGTATTTCCAAGTGAAAGAAAAAAAAAGAGCTTTATATTTTTCTTCCTGCCCCCATTTTGCAGCTATTAAATAATTTATGGGCTTTGAGAACACAGAAATGTTATTCTTTAACTGGTACCATTTCCCGGGAAGTTTGTTAAATTGATCAAAACAGGAATTCTGCTCCCTGGTGTATGTTCTGGAAGTCCTTACCTCCATCATCAAACAACCACCAAACATCAATTGTGCCTTTTCCTTGTTTCTTTTTAAATTGAGCGCTGGCTTCCACCAGTTTCTGGTTGAACTCTCCCACGTGCATCGACTGGATGCTGTTAATGCTGCTGTCTGAAATGAAAGAGAAAGTGATGCATCTATTTGTCTTTCAAGGACAGAAACAAAGTAACTTTCCAATAAACCTATTGATGAAAATAGAGAAAAGGTCATGAATTCATGTTTTTATAACCATAAATAAACTGAACTCCATTCTCCAAGGGGTGAAGCTAAAGGTCGAATCCCACAATAATTTAGAGCATGTTCAGTAGTTAAATAAAATTTTGGTATTGCTTTTTATGACTTCAGTTCTCATTATCAAGCAGTGGGTTATTTTCAGATCCTTAGTAATCTGTTTCAGAGTGGAAATATTATTTAGAGATGTAGCAATGCTAAATAATTTTATTTTTTGTATATTGAGAGTTGAACTCAAGGGAGATGCTGTATCACTTGAGCCACTTCACCAACTCTTTCTGTGTTGGTTATTTTTGCGATAAGGCCTTGCTTTATGTTCAGGCCAGGCTGGACCCCAATCCTCCTGTTTGTGCTTCCCCATGTAGCTGGAATGACAGGTACCTGGCTCTGTACCCAGTCATTTGTTGAGATGGGGGTCTTGTGAACTTTTTGTCTGGGTTGGCCCTGAACTGAGATTCTCCCAGTCTTTGTTTTCCAAGTAGCAAGGATTATGTACAGGCTTGAGTCACTGTGCCTGATCTTTGTTAAGTCTACAGTAGCCAAAATATCTCAACCTTCTTAAATCTCAGATATAAAGCAATTAAAAATGTTTTCAGATACTTGAAAGTAGACCATTGTGGTGATTGACTTTTCTAGTAAGCAATAGTATATTCTTTCATTGGAGAATTCATTCATTTAAGCATAGTTTTAGTGTAAGTTCTGTAAATGTCTGGATTATAGAGTTTGCCAGGGTCCACAGTGAGTCTTGAACTCTGTTTCCACTCTTGGCCTGGCTCATATCTCTGTTTTCTTTTCAAGGAGGCTTGTGAAGCTAAGGCAAAGCCACTTAAGCTATTGGAATCTTCATGTATGAGATGAAAACAGCCAAGAAACATGGAGGGGAACAGAACCCTTAGTTGAGTTATAATTAAGGGTGCATATAAAATACATAAAACAGTTTCTACCCTAACATGAATACAATGAAAGAGTGCAAGGCAACCAGGCAGATTTTATTTTATTTTTTTTTTTGGTACTGGGGCTTGAACTCAGGGACTTCACCTTGAGCCACTGCACCAGACCTAATTTTGTGAAGGGTTTTCGAGATAGGGTCTCACAGAACTATTTGCCCAGGCTGGCTTTGAACTGCGATCCTCCTGATCTCTGCCTCCTGAGTAGCTAGGATTACAGGCGTGAGCCACTGGCATACGGCCCCAGGCCAGTTTTGAACAGGACTCTTGTTCCTATTTGTCAGCAGGGGTTTCTTTGCCACACTGTGTAATATTATTTCTCATTTCCTTGCCTTTGAAAGCTGCGACTTGAACACTTCCTTTCAAAGAGGTGGTGTCAGTGTAGTGCTTGGCATAGAGTTGACAGCCTCTTCAGAGCTGTGGCTCTGATCTAGGAGGTTCTGAGGATGCTTTGTTCTGTTTTACTCTGTTTCCATGTTTGGGGTCTGTCAGTTTTGAAGCAATTATCTTATATTGTTTCTATATCCCTGGGACTGCTGAGGGAGAAAGTAAATTTATTTGCAAAATGGACCAAACTCTGTCCTTACTTACATGCAAATCAAAGCAACTGGAAGAGTCATTATGAGAGCCTCCAGTCAGACAGCCTTGATCTAGAACTCAAAAGAGTTGTCACCTACCTAAAGACCAAAGTAGTGAATGGGCCCACATTACAGCTGCATTTGAACTTTTAGATATTAAAAAAACAGTGCCTAACATTATTACTTTGCTTTGCTGAACATTGAGACATGTTGACTTTCAGAGAAGTACATTTCTTTTCTTTTTTTTTTTTTTTTTTTTTTTTGCCAAAACAAGTAATGTGATGTAGAAACAGGCTTCCAGAATAAATAACAAGTCCTGGTTTCATAATGAGGACATCAATGCTTCCTCTTCCCAATTGAAAAGAGGATGGTATTGGGCTTTGGCTTCTGAATTTTCCATTGTTTTCCTGAAAACTGTATCACATAAGAAAGCATATTTAATGTCACAAATAAACCAAATACTTGGAAGAGAAATAATACAGTAGTTAGTATTCAAAAAAGTCTTTATTACTAATTTTTGTACACCTAAGGTCCTGATGTAGCTCCAACTTTAGATTCAAATACATTATTTTCATGGACAGTGTCATTTTAAGGTGGGTAGCAAGTAGTAAGATTTCCTATGCCCACAGAATGTCTCAAAAACCTGAGAGAATCTCTAGTATTTGAAGTGTGGTCATAGTTGCATTCACCATCATTCTCTGTAATACAGTACATAAAAATATTTTATGACAGATAAAATTTCATCCTTGGGCTAGATATGGTAGGAAAACAAGAAAACAGAACCAAACCATTTACAATGTAGGAGATGGCCTCTTTGAAGGGTTGGCTACTGTCAACCTAGACCTGAGGGATGCTGAGTCTCAACTTTAATTCTGCTATTTGACTTGGAGACTGTCCCAGAGAAATGGTTTTTCACTTTAGGACATTCCTACACAAAGAAATGCATGTTTATATTCTGACTTCTACCAGCAGAGGTCAGTGTGGACCTCATTAAAGTCAAGCCTGCAGTGTTTTGGAAAGGATATATATATATATTTAAATCAGACATTTGAATCACCGACTTATAAAACTTATATAAAGCTCCCTTGTGCTTTGGTCCTCTGTCCCTGGGATGTATGACAGTAATTCAGAGATAAGTTTACCACTCAGCCAAAATCTACAGGTAGTAATTAATATTAATGAAGTTCTAAGTCCATCATTCTAGTTTGCAATAAAGATGTCTTTTTTTTTTTAAATCAAAGTTCTAGCTGGGTTCTCTATTATCTGTATAGTAAACTTTAAGTCCCCTAAAATGTCCACAAGATAAGTTGAGTATAGATAACACAGGTTGGGATTTGTTCTTAAATTTCTTTCCCCTTTTCATCTTAACTAAGACATTTCTACTTTAACACAGCCAATCTGCTTAAGCACTATATAACTCCCAAACCAAACATTACTCTTTTAAAATAAATTTTTTACAGCAAGATGGTACAAAATACTTAACAGTGTTGATAAATGACATATCTTCTACCTTGTACCTGTATTGCTTTCTTGAAAGAAGTCTTTCAGTCCCTCACTAGACTTGGTGTCCCCAGTGTCTTAGAGGCTGACTTCTGACTCCATAGAGATGCTCAAGTAGTGTCCCACCTTGAAGCCTTGTTTGCAAATTTTAAAAAACAGTTACCTTTTTTTGGGGTTGGCTTAGAAATGTTCAACTTGCCAGCTTTTTTAAACAAGCCTCGGATGCCTCCACTGGCTCCTTCACAGTCATTGTCTTTGATCGTGGCCTCCAGTGCCAGTCTCTCCCGTTCCAGTTTCTCTAACTCATCTGGTGAGAGAAGACAAAGTCAGGCGCTTCACTGATAAGGAGCAAAGTTTCTGGCAACAATCTTATAAACTATTTTAATATTTAAAGTAGTGTGTATGCAATAAAAGGATGGTACATAACATGATTATTTTCTGAATGATTATTAAAAAGTAATATATTTCAGTAAATTGTATTTGGTGAGAATAACAGCTAACTCAGAAAAATAGCTCAGTGAGGACACTGGGTTTTTATTCATGAGGGCAAGAGAGGCCACTTAGTTCACTTCTTATTTACCATCACCCCAAAACAAACAACCTGATCCCCTGCACAGGAGAGCTTGTACACTGGAGGCTACTGATTTGCTGACCTAAGCTACTGGGACAGATGTTTTACAATGGGAAGTGACAAAATTGCAGAGATACATTGGGTAGATATCAGGCACACAGCAAGGGCCCCTGAATTGAAACAAAATGAGAGAGCAAGAATTCAGAAAAGATAATCAGGTCATATAATAAAGTCTATGAGCTCTGGATACAAATTGTGTTGAAAAAAATATCCACCACAAATTGCTTCTGTTAAGCAAAAGCTTTGTGGAGCAGGTGACTAAAGTCAAAGAAATAAAAGCTGAAGTTTCTATGTGCTGTCAGAGTTTAAATTGCTAAACAGGCTCTCACAACACTGAAGTCTAAAACAAGAGTCAAGCTGTGCAAAATTTTTTGCCCAAGGTTTAGGACCATTATCCAAGCTTTGATGTCGTGTCTGCCTGCCTTTTATCTTTTTTAGATTCTAATTGCAATGAAAAACTCCTTACTGCTGTGTAATATCTTGAATCCCTCTTTGACCTCAACCTGCCTTGGATCAGGGCAAATAAGGTTTTAAAAGGAGTCACGTGACAATGTTAAACCAATGAGCCCTCTTCTTAGGCTGGGCGAGGTAGCACTCTTGTCAGATTTCCTCATCTTATTGTCTGCTGAGAACAGAGCCTTAGAAAATGAGCAGTGCTCCAAGGGAGAGAGTAGAAAATCCACATCCAGTGTTACAAAACACTGGTAGGGCTTCTGTAAATGTCAGCCCTCAGAGCCTATTGCCTTATCTATCTGTGAAGCGAAGCTATACAAACTCTCGATTTATCAATTATGTACTAACTAAATCTGTCAGGACAGTCACATCCCTGGACGATGCTGTTATTCAGCTACACAGAATTGTCTGGCTCCTTGCCAGGTCTTAGCAATTAATCTTTTGCCAGTTGCATGAGATTTAAGGTCAAATCACCCATGTGATTTCCCCAAAGCTTCAAAGGTTCTCAAGATCAGCGCTATAGAAAATCTGGGAAATTAGACTGATGGTATTAAAACTCAAACAGGAGTTGCTTACCCCTGATGTTGAAAGGTAAAGACAAGCTACATTGCAGTGGGGGCCATGAACCCCACATAGCTCTGCAGCTGGCTTTATGTGATAGTAGGCAAATCATTTTTTTTTTTTATGCCTAAGAGTTCTTACCTGGGAAATGGAAAATTGTAACCCTTTACCATCCTACTAGCTTTGCAAAAAGAATAAGCAGGTTTTTTTGTTTTGTTTTGTTTTAAATAGTGCTCTGGAGTTTCTTAAGGAACACAGCAATGACTACATTCCATAGGCCACGAATTTAAGCAGCTTCTGGAATAGGCCTACCATGCAAAGCAAACTCAGTATTTTGAAAAGCCTAAAAATTATTTTAATAGTCACTATGTTATTGCACACTCTTTGGGTGCCAGGGTCTGTGCTATACTTCATTCCTTTCCCAACAACTCAGAGATGGTTACTATTACTATCTTCAGTTTGTTGAGGAAGAAACTAAGGCTCACAAGGGTTTTTACTTGTCTGGTATCACCTAGCAAGTTACAGTGTTTAAATACAAAGAAGCTTAATTGACCACAGGTTCCCTATGTGTCCCACTAAGAAGGCCTTCTTGTATCTAATCATTACTATTTCATGATGGTTTTATCTACTTCTCCTCTTCTTCATTAGATGAACTTAATACTTGTAAGTGCAGGTTGTAAAGCCAAGCTAATCTTCCAAATGATGGACCTCTGTAGATGGCATTTTAAAGGAAGGATTCTAAAGACTTGGATATATATGTGAGACTGCCCCAGAGCACCAGCCTTGACAGCCAAATTTTGTTGTCCCTGCTCTGGGTGACAACACCCTTGGTGCTATACAGCCTTCAGGGAGTCAGCTGAGGGTGACCTCTTACAGCCCTCTTGAAGGTGCTTATTTGAGAGCTTATTTAGGGACAACTGTAAGGCTACCCTGGGAGGGGAATCTTCTCTTTTCTTTTTTTGGCAGGCACCAGCACAACTGGTGATTAGCCACTAATTGCCATGCTCTTTGTCCTCTAGTTTGAACAAAGAATGAAAAAAGATAAATCTTCTTTGGAAACCAAATCAGCTGGCTGAGCAAACTGGGAGCTATTCCAATAGTTTGCTTGAAGGTACACCCCAGCCCATCCAAGCTGCCAAAATCCCAGACCTGAGAGACAAAACCAAATTTTGCTTGAATGCTTCAGATTCGGCAGTCCTTTCAAAAACCATAGAGACAGAGGCTGACAAAGTCTATTTGAAAGGCCAAAATCTGCTTGCGTTGTCATCTTGAATGTTCAGATCCATACAGTGGTGTGATTCCCACTTGTACAGTGTTTCTGCAAATTCTTATTAGCATTAATTCACAATTATTCACTTTGTAGGTGAACTAAGGCTAAGTGCATTCTGTGCACTTCCTTCTTTTTTTACATTTCAGTGCTAATTAGAAGTGATGTTTTGCTATCTGTTCTTCTGACTTACACATCTGGTGTAGTGCACACCTTGGTTTGCATGGAAACTCCAAGAGTAGACTTTGTCAAAACATTTCCTTTAACAGAAGCATTGGCCAGTGGACTTGTAGAAGTATACCGTTAGTCACAAGTGGGAGGGAGCCGAGGGAGTATAAATGGATAGATATAAAGTGATTGCCATCAGGTAACAAAGAAGATATATATTCCATCACTACAATCACCACCATCACTACTACACTTTCAACATTCAAGAATTATAGAGCCCTTTCCACATAGCATCTCATTTGGTACTGATGCTGGGGTACAGGTAGAACTGGTATTAGTCCCCAGTTTGCTGAAAAGGAAACTTGGGCTTAGAAAGTTAAGTGATTTGTCACACAGCTAGTGACCCAAATATGCTTCTAATTCTAGTGTTTATCCCACTCCACCCTTCTTCTTTGTAATATGCCCTGACTTCAGTATCTGTCTGCCCTACTCTCTTTTCAAGTCTTCAGGTGAGTCTCTGAGATCATAATGGTGGAAGAAAATGCTTAGACTTTCAGACTGACTCAGTTGAGAGTGAGTTTCTAACCATTTTCTTCATATGTATCCCAAACAATTCTCCTACTGAGAATAAAGAGTGACTTCTGAGCTGTATCTTTAAGCAGGTGCCAAAACTACTTTCAACAGTAGTTACTACATTTTCAAGTGCTTCATAAATTCAGTGCATGGTAACTAATTGGAGTGGTTATATTTTGGAGATCAATGTAGTTGTCAAAACTGCCTCAAGTGTTCTAGCATCTCTCTCTCTCTCTCTCTTCAAAGGCATCTTTTAGAAAAGGAGGAGCTTACATGAATCACCATCTGTTTTGAATCTTAAAGGATAGAGAGCAGTCAATTATCTGACAGCAGAAGGGAGAGTAGAGAAACCTACTGGGAAATGGCAACCCCTCCCATTTTACAGCATCCTTTTTCTTGATTAATTATTAAATTCTGATTCTTTCCTTGGTCAATCAACTCAAAGCCATAAATGCTCATATGAATCAATGTGTCGAACCCCAGGTGAAGGCTAGTTGAACTGAAGGCAGGAAGCAGACCTGCAGTGGTTGCCTTCCAACCAAGTAATTATTTACTGCATTGCCATCTGTCTTTATTTTGCTAGGCCACTCGATCAGACGCAGCAGTATCACTGTGCTCTGAGGTGGTCATAAATTGTGCAGTACTTACACAGAATTCTTGACCGCAATATATTGGGAATCACCTTTCGTTGCTTTATTTCCTACCAGTACATTTTCAACTCTTTGTTGTAGCTGCAAACTTGCTAAATACTCCTGGGAAGTGGATAATATGAAATACTGTGTTTTTGTGTTGTCAGGCCATAAATTAATTTATTAAGAGAAACTATCAGTCATCAATATTAGCTGAGTTGCTGCAGTGAACACGTTAGAATGTTATGAGCATCGATCTTATTTATATAAAAAGTTATTCTCATATAAGCCTGTGACACAGTATAGAAATAATTGTCATTAGCTGGTAAATTACCTATAAAGCTGATTTCTAGTCACTGCTTTATTAACTACAGTATATGGGCACTCTGAATTGCTAATATTTCCTTTAAATTATAATCTGTGATGACACTGTGGTGCCTGTGTTGGCAAAGCTAGAATGATAATCATTAACACAGTATAATGCAATACTTAAGATTTATCAGGCTCTTATTAAGCCCTACAGTACAGTATAACATAATGAAACACAAGCTTATTTCTTCCAATTCAAAATCTAATATGAGGTTTGTGTCATAAATTTCATAAACTTCAAAATAATGCATGGAACTATGGCATAAAGTTAATTTCTATCTTTATGTTGCTGTTTTCTACATGTTCTTCATGTATTTGTGTAACATTTTCTGTTTACTGTAGATAGTGGTACTTATAATTATTTTATTAGTATCCAATTGCATTTTCCCTTTCTGGACTAAGAAGCAGAAATATTTCAAACATCAAAGTTGATTTAAATAGGGTATGTCCCTTGGGAAATTAAAAGGGGATACAGCTCACCACCAGGATTCTTAGAGAAATACTACAGAACTTGGTTGCTGGATTGCTTTATAGAAATAAATTGATGGTGCATTTTTGTGGATGGAACAGTGAGGGGTGGGAGCAGTATTTTTCAGCCACCTCACATCTTTTAGCTTGAAGAGATTAGCATAATAAACTCATGATCCTCTTGGTCCTACCTCCCATGTGTTGGGATACAGGCATGTTACCACTGCATCTGGCCAGAACAGGTCTCTTAATACGAGGGTCTTGTAATTGTCCTCAAAGTCAGCTCTGTTTTACCATAGACAGGCAGCATCTATGCTGGCTGTTTTAAGAAATATGTGGAAACAGTGTTGTCCCATGTCTCAGATTTACCAGTGTCTCTCATTAGGTAGTTCATTACCTTATGCAATTCTCCTTTTTAAAAGGCAGAACAGTGGTTTCAAACAGACAAAGGTTTGAATCCCAGCTCTACCAATTACTAGACTTCTGAATCCTGTATAAGCCTCAACCTTGTCAGCTGTAAAATGGAGGCAATGATGACACTTTCCTCAGAGTAGTTGGGATGATAAATGTTATATGTGAACATGGAGCATACTACATGGCATATAATAAGTACTAAAGCTGTTAGCTATTGTTGCTACAAAGGGATTACATTCTATCACAAAGGAATATAAATTAATCATGAAAATCAAGAGAGAATTAGTATATAAATGTTAGTGTACAATATAAAATATGGTGTATAAAAACCCATCTAAGAGAAATGGAGCATAAAAATGAGACTAAAGGCACCAAAAGATAACCTTTATGCTACAGTTTTGTGTAGGATGGATTCTACTCTCAGGTGTTTTGTTTTGGTGGTACTGGAGTTTGAACTCAGGATCTCTCACATGCTAGGCAGGTGCTTTACCACTTGAGCCATGCCCTCAGCTCTCTAGTTATTTACAAGCTGGTCCTTTAGTTATTTTTCAGATATGGTTTTTGCCCTGGCCACCTTTGAACTTCAGTCCTCCTACCTATGACTCCTGTGTAGCTGGGATTACAGGTGAGCACCACACCTAGATCAGCTTTATTTGTTAATGTTCCTAATTTCTCAAGATGGTTGGCGGTATACATTTTCTCATCTCTGTCTCTCCTCAACCCACCGCAGTCTGGATTCTGACAGTATTGTGGTAGAGAAATTGTTCTCATCAAGTTTACCTGTGTCATAATATTTACATTTCACTCATGGTCTGACTAGATATTCTGCTGTACTTGGTGGTGTTGATCATTCTCCTTGTTCTGAACTTTCTACTTGCATGTCTGCCATGACACCCACCTTCTGGTTCCTTGACCTTTCTGGTTCCTCCTTTCTACTCTTTCTTTGGGGCTCTTTTCCTGTGCCTTGTAGCTCTCAATTACACAGACTCTTTGGGTTATATTTTCCAGTGTCACAGTTTCAATGTCCACTTGAACTACTTGACCCCTGTATTTGATTGCTAGGGCTTCCGTACAATACATTGGATGGTTTTAAACAACAGAAACTTATTTTCTTACAGTTCTGAAGGCTAGAATTCCAAGATCAAGGTGTCACAGAGATGATCATTCTGAGGCCACTCACCTTGGCTGGAAGGTAACTGCCTTTTCACTATGTCCTCACATGGGACCCCTAGGTCCATGTCCTAATCTCTTTTTATATTCAGAACACTAGTAATATTGGATAAGACCTAACAATATGGCCCTGTTACCTTAATCGCTTCTTTAAAGACCTTATCTTTAAATACAGACATATTCTGAGCTACTAAGTTTAGGATTTCAATGTATGAATTTGATCAGGGGAGGACACAATTCAGCCAAACATCCAAATCTATAGCTCAGGCTCAGATTTCTCCTGTAACATCAGGACTGTTAATGTCTATTGGACACTTCTGGTAGGATTTCCCACAGGAGTCTGAAATCGAGTCAGGCATCTCCTCAGTAAGCTTGCTTTTCCTTTTGCATTCCCCATTTCTTTTGGTAACCAGCCAAAGAGTCTTTTCTTTCCTCCTATCTTTCCTGTATCCTACACATCCAATCATCTCCCAAATGGTATTCTAGGAACCTTCAAAATTATTCTTGATTTTGGCAATTATTCTGAGGCCACTCCTCCGTGACTTGAAGGTGGCTGCCTTTTCCTCATCCCTATGGAAACTTCTTTAATTCAAGTCACTACTTTCTCCTGCATTAATTATTGTAGGAATCATTTTGATTTGTCTCTCTGTTTCTATTCTAGTCCTCTTTGAGTCATACCTGATAGTACTGAAAAACGTTGAGCTCTAAAACCCAAGTTGAATCATGTTATTCCCTCACTTAAATTACCTTTGATGGTCTTCATTATCTACATAGAATATGGTCCACAATTTTTTTGTGTGTGTGGTTCTAGGGTTCAAATCCAGGGCCTGGCTTTCATCATGCTAGGCCAGTGCTCTATCACTGAGTTATACCCTTAGCCCTTGATTTTTTAGAGGTGGGGTCTTGCTATGCAGCCCAGGTTGGCTTCAAACTCATGATCCTCCTACTTTTTTCCTCCACAGTGCTGGGATTATAGGAATTCTCTCCATATCCAGTTTGATCCACACTTTTTAGTAGGGCAAGTAAAGTATGAAAAGTCTAGATCCTCCACATATATAGCTAGCCTCATATTTCACCATAATATGCATCATATTATTCACTTCAGTAACACCAATCTGCTTCTGGTTGCCCATACATCCCATTCCTCCGTGTTCCCACATGGTGTAAACCTTTGCTAATGCTGTTTTCTTTGCGAGGGAGGCCATTTCCCAAGCCCCATCTTTATTTTTCTCTCTCTCTACATTGCCTAGTTAACTCCAACTCACCTGCTAAATCTCAAACCAAATTTCCTCCAGGAAGCCTTTGGTGGTTAGATGCTCTTTCATTCTTTTGTATAATACTTCATTTATACCTATGATCACACTAATACCCATTTTCCTTACTAGGCTGTCAGGTTCTTGAGGGTACGGACCCTCAGGAACTTTATTTTACCCAGTCTCCTCACCTACAGTGTATCTACTGCATAATAGAGACCCCCAAATATCCCCTTGCCTTACTCTCATGTAGTCAATGTATTGTGAAGTTCACTTGAAGAGCTGGATTCACGTCCTGTCCTAATCTTTCAATAACTCTCAGATATGTTCTTTATTTCATACACAAAGAGTGTATTTAAATTCTAAGACTAAACAAGTATACCAAATTCTCTACAGGGAAAAAAAAACGAGTCACTAATCTGAATTAGTGTTTCTGCCTCTGCCTTAGATCACTGCATGACACATTCAGGCTTATTTTCACATTAGCTACAAACCAGTTCATAGACTCTTGAAAGCAAAATCCGTTCTTCGGAGGGAAGAATTAATCTTCATTCTCTGCAGAAATTAATTTGGCAGGCTGTTTTACGGAAGGTGTTTATTTTCTTTGATGCTGGCTTTGTGATAAGAAAAACAGTTGATGACCCCCTCTGAATCATTCCATAGTTCTGGTTATCAGGGTAAAGGCCACTTGTTTTAGCCATAAGGATGACACTGGGGAAAAGTGCTCACACTATGGGTTAGCACTGGAAGTTAAGCTCCTTTGTCAGCATTTTTGTCTATACTGTGCACTGTTCTACTCCCACCACATAGAACACTGTCAGGCATATAGCAGGTGCTCAATATTTGTTGATTGAATAAAGAAAGTACATACCTTGTACCTGAAGAACCTGAGAGATATCAAACCCTTGGCTGATTCTGACTATGACCACACCAATCTCGAAGTCAAATGCGTCACTGAGAGAGGAAGCAAAGCTGTTAGTGTTTTAATTGACTCCTGTAATCCTCAAGCTTTGCATTAACACTAAATGTGCTTCTAGGATTTTGAACATGAAATTATTAAAATTCTTCAAAATATAGCCAAGAGCTGATGCCTTTTCTGTTTGTTTGTTCTCTCTTTATACCTTTAAAAATATATTTTGAGTAAAGGTAACTAAATTATTTACTCTGTAGCCAAGTTTATTCAAATAGCAATATCAACTAGAATTTTTCATTAAGAGCTGATTACATACCTTTAAAATAATTAAATTTTTTCTAAAGTGATCCATAACAATCAGTGATATATTTAGAACAGAGCACTGACAGGTTGCAAAGACCCTTTCAAATTATTAGCCTCCCCTCCTTGCCACAGAAAAGATTTTCTTTTCTTTTCTCTCTCTCTCCTTCCTTCTTTCCTTTCTCTCTCTCCATCTCTCTCTCTCTTTCTCTCCTTCTCTCCCTTCCTCCTTCACTCCTCCTTTCCTCCCTTCCTCTCCCTTTGGAAATAGGGTCTCATTGTGTAGGTCGGGCTAGCCTAGAACCACGTTATAGGCTGTCCATGAACTTGAGATTCCTCTGTCTTCTCCACCCTATTACTGGAATTATAGGAGTGTACCACCATGCCTGGCTCTGGGAGGACTCCTTTTGCAACATTTCTTTGTTTAAAATGTTTTCAGTTCTTCCTTTTAATTTATTTGTTGGTGGTACTAGGGTTTGAACTCTGGCTCTTAAGCAAGTGCTGTACTACTTAAGCCACACCCAGCTCTTTTTGCATTAGTTGTTTTTCAGAAAGGGTCTGGTGCTTTTTGCTAGGGCCAGCCTTTGTACCACAATCCTCCTACTTCTACCTCCCAAGTAGTTGGAACTGCATGCATGTGACAACATGCCAGGCTCATTTTTTGATGTTGGTTGCTATTTTGCCCAGGAAAGTCTTGAACTTTTTCTTCCTATCTCTGCCTTCAGAGTAACTGGGATTACAGAAGTGATCCACTTTGTCTGAACCCTCCAAGGCACTTTTCCCATTGTCTTTGGACAGGTTATTTGGAGCAATGCTTTTTATGGTAATCCTGTGTGGTTGAAGATGGCTATTATGCCTTCTCTACAACCAACCCAGTGAAATTAGATCATCTACAAGAGAAGTAAAAACCTGTCATTTAAGCAACATGGGTAAGCACAAATAGGAGAAAAACAATGAAATATTATACTCTTGTAATGGAGCCTGGTGATAGCAATAATACTGTGTTTTACTCTAAGGAACAACAACAAGAAGTCAGAGTGGGAATTGCAATGCAGATGTGTGATTATCTTCCTTCTGAAACAATACCCCTTTGCTGTGGTAGTAAAGTCGTTTAACTTTTCTCACTCAGGGAGGTTTTATACTGGTACCAACTTGAGACACCTTAATTAACATCGACTTTATTACCGAGAAAACCAACTACTAATTTGTCGTAAAAGCCAGATTCCTCCTTGGTTCAATATTACTGTGTTTAACTATTTTGATCCCTTTGAATTCTTAGAATATTTGGGATGGTAGTTGGAAGAGGGGCCCAAGCAATTCTGTACCCAATAAAGAACTCTTTGAAGATTTATACATTTCTTACTATTTGCTTATTTTCTTCCTCTACCCCTTTGTTCCCCTAGGTGAAGATGAAATTTTACTAAAGGATCTGGATTATGCAGGAGCAGATACAATCTATTTCTAAGAATGTTTGGTCAACAACTGATTGTGATGCTAAATAACTGTTTGCTGAGATTGGCAAAATTCTGTACCTGATCTCCTGATTTAGCCTTAACCTATTGGATTTGGAACACCAGCAGGAGCCAGAATGGCAGCCATGGACTCCAGCCTTTATATGTTTGGTAAATAATGCATTGAATATGCAGCGTTTGTTTTTACATTGGAAAGACTGTTAAATGAATCTCTGGTCAGTAACACAAATAACTTCAGAAAATGAAAATTATTTTCATATGCCTCTTTTCAATAGAACTTAGAATGCTTTTGTTAGAATCCTCCCTAAAATAATGACAAATGTAAGGTTCATTATATGTTTGTTTAGAAGGGATGGGGATTTCCTCCCTATGTGATAGATAGGCACTCTCTGGGCATGTTCTGTGTGTTGTGCTATGAAATGCCGACACAGGAAGCCTTCTATTTCATGGCAACTGTTTTTGTTGCCATGAAAGATAGCTATCAAGCATAGCTACCCTTGCCTGTCTTGTCTGATTAAGTATTTTAAGTCTAGAAGAAAGTTTTCTAGATTGTGTCTCTTTGCATTTAGAGAATTTGTTTTCTCTTACTCAAGAAGAATCCAAGCCAGGTAATATGTAGGTAGATATGTACTTTTGGAAGCAGCATAGAATTGTCATCATGAATTGGGATATATCTGGGTTGGAATCACAGCTCTGTCTCTTACAAAACTCATTTTTCAGCATGCTGCTTAATTTTATTGTCTATGCTTGCAAAATGGGCACAAGATTAATACTTTTCTCAAAGGTTTCTTTCCTTCCTTCCTTTCTTTTCTTTCTCAGAATCAAACCTGGCTTCTTGTACATGCTAGCCAAGTGCTCTCCCACTGAGCTACAGCCTCAGCCCCTCTTTTTTTTTTTTTTTTTTTGGTGGCACTGGGGCTTGAACTCAGGGCCTACACCTTGAGCCACTCCACCAACCCTATTTTTATGTTGGATATTTTCGAGATAGGGACTTGTGAACTATTTGCTCAGGCTGTCTTCAAACTGTGATCCTCCTGAACTCTGCCTTCTGAGTAGCTAGGATTACAGGTGTGAGCCACCAGTGCCCAGCTCTCAAAGGTATCTTAAGAGAATTAAAGTCTCCCAGAAAAATTAACCTAGAAGGTAACACACATGCACAGGAAATCAATGTGAGTCAACTCTCTGTATAGCTATCCTTATCTCAACTAACAAAAACCCTTGGTCCTTTCTATTATTGCTTATACTCTCTCTTCAACAAAACTAGAGATAAGGGCAAAATAGTTTCTGCCTGGTAGTGAGGGGGTATGGGAGGGAGAGGGAAGGAGCGGGGGGAGGGGGGGAGTAAGGAAGGGGATAGGGGAAGGGGGGAGAAATGACCCAAACATTGTATGCACATATGAATAAAAAAAAGAAAAAAAAGAGAAATAGGATAGTTCATGTGAATGATGTCAGACTGGTGCTTGCTAGTCTTTTAAGGTATACCATTATTATTTCTTTTCTAAGAGTCTTCAAATATTTCGCTGTTAGATGTCATGTACTGTCTGAAACTTACATTCTGTACAGAGACCAGTGCTACTATACCTGGTAGCAGAGGCACCTGGCACGCAGGACCTCCCTCTAGGACAATGAACACATTAGAAAAGGCTCAGAAGATGATGTCTGAACTGGAGCAAATCCAAGATTCCAGGTTGTTTTGAAAGAAAATTTTCTTCCTTCCTCACCTGGCTGTCCTTTGCTTATAATTTTGTAAATATACTTTAAGGTAGGAATTCTAAACATTTAATTTTGCTTTCACCCTGACGTTGCCCCACCCTGCCTTCTCTGACAAGTCTCTCCTCTCCTTCTTTCCTTCCTTCCTTTCTTCCTTCTCTCCCTCCCTCCCTTTCTTCTTTTCTTTCTTCCTTCTCTCTTTTAGTTTTTGTTTTTGGGGAGGGGGTGTTGAACTCAGGGCCTTGTGCTTGCTAGGCAGGTGTTCTTCCACTTGAGCCTTGAGCCATGCCTCCGGTCCTTTTTGCCTTTGTTATTTTTGGGATAGGATCTTGTGCTTATGTCTAGGCTGGCCTGGACGGTGACCCTCCTACTTATGTTTCCCAATAGCTGGGAGAACAGGCACACAGCACCACACCAAGCTTATATATTGAGATGGGGTCTTGCAGACTTTTCCCCCAGCTGGCCTTGAACGGTGATCTTCCGAATCCTAAGTAGCTGGAATTACAGTTCTGAGGTACCGTACCTCACGTGCCTTCCAGATCTTGTTGGTGGTGTTTTTGGTTTTCTTTTTCCACTTTGGTCAGGAATTCACAGGACCAGGAAAATGTGCTCTTTTCAGACAATTTAATCTGGCACAACAGTATTATGTGCAGTCCAAGTTTTTCACTGCCCTGGTTAGAACATTACAAACATGAACTTGTCCTGAAAGCCATCACTTACTGTATGATTCCCACGTAGTTCTCAATCTCTGTCAAGGGAGCTTTCCTCCAGGTTTTTTTATACCCAATCACTAGAGTGTTTGGCTTCATTCTTCCTAAGCCTGAGGCCTAAACAGAGGACATAAACACATGGGCAATCTTTATCGTACTGGGAAACGACAACTGCAAAGAAAAAATAATGTCCAAGAGAGCACTGAAGTAATGTTCTAAAGATTCTGAAGATCAGATTACATTTTAGTACATGTCCTTCAGGCCTGAACCCAAGCATAAAATAGAAAGATTAGTTCTAAATCATCTCAGCCATAAATGGATTTTAGATGACAGAAATGTAGCTTTTCTAAATTAGCAGTCATTTGCATTTCTTCTGACACACTCATTAAAATGGTTCAATAATTTAAAAATCAAGTAAGGGTTGGCTTAACTGTTGGTGTGCGTGTTATAACTTAGTGGTTCAAAGCCCATTTGCACCTGTTATGTCCGTAATGTAATCAGCAATAAAATCCATGTTGGAGAAATTCTTATACACAAGGACCATTGAAATCTCTCATATTATTTATTGAAGAATGACTGAACTATGTTTCTAAAACCTAATCCTCTTGCATGACAGTATCGTTAATAGTTGTACTCCATATCAGAAGTTTCATTTCCCTTCATTAGATGACAGGATATGGCTTCTAGTTAATCAAATTTAATTTGGCAATATTACCAAGCACCTAGTAATTGCAAAGTGATATGCTAGGCACTGTGAGAGAGTAGTGAAGCATGTGCACTTGTGGGATGGAGCTTAGAAGAGGTGGAGGAGATAAGATATACACAGATAATTGTAATATAAGTACAAATACAGTGGGGACTTATATAGAAGCAAAAGGAGGAATTCTAGCCTAGGATTCACAGCTTAATGGGAGAGGTCTGGGAGTTTGCTTAGATGTAGACAAGTAAAGATAAGGAGAGCAGTGGAAGTAAAGAAAGGCCATTCTGAGTCATGGGAATAATGAAACAAATGACCAGAATTGGATATTTTAGAGTATAGTCACAGTGGAAGGAAATACACCCTGGTAGAGAGGATCCCTAAGATAAGTTTGTCTCCAACACATAGGTATATTGCTTTTAGAAATCACACAGCCCTACAGTTCCTTAGAGCTGCATTCATTAGTTGGCCCTTGGTGGGTATGTGGCAGTATGGCTATAGTCTTCTCCATGACTAGATGTTGGGGATATGGTCATTTGTACTATAATTTCTTAGATGCAAAGAAGGCTTCATACAATATGGTGTGATCAACAGTGCTTGACTTTAATATCCCTCTGTCCTGTCCTATGCCATGACACTTCTTAACTCTACTTTTATTTCCTGTGAATTTATGGATGGTCAATTTTTTTTTTAACCATTTATTCTGGACAAATATAAGAATAGTTTCTTACACCTATTTCTTTGTCTTCCTGCTCTTATTCTATGTCTGTCTTCCCATTCCCACTTGAATTTTTTTTATATTTTACAAATCTTCTGTGGTAATTTTATATTAAATATGTAACTTCCCCAAGACATTTAACCAAGAGCTACAGAAAAGAACTCACTTCTGAAAGAAAAATCAGCAGTTTGCAATAATGCCTAATTCCATGGTTTAGCAAATTAATGAGACAAAAAGAAGCTTACTGTGAACAATAGTTCCTTCAGCAATGGCTGCTCTGCAAGTGCAGCCACTTTTCGAGTGTTCTTCATGTATATTAGAGTCAGGAATGCGTCAAATACTCTTAAACTCTGAAAGATTACAGCTTAACCAGTGTTTTTTCCTGCCCACATCAGCTTAGTTACCTGGAAGCAGGCCTGAATTCTGACACTGCTAAATATGGCAACTCTGAAAGCACCATTTTGTATACATAGGACCAAGGCATTTCCATCCTATTAAGACCAAAAAAGTTTAGAAAGCCAAGCCCTACAATTTCTGAGAGTTCCTTGGATTGTTTAAAGAGTTTTCTAGCAATCTAAATTGTAGAGATGGGAACAAAGGAAAGATTTTATGTAGTTATAAGAGAAGAAATAAAGAAGGGGAGAAAAAAAGATGGGGAACTGTGGACTTCAATGTTGAGCTGTAGAGATTATTACATTTTATTCAACATTCTGGAAATAATTCAGGAGGATAGGGAGATTTTATGCCCTGATCTCCATGCATTTATTCAGTTGAGTCTTGCAGCTGCCCTCACACCATTTGCAAAAGAAAAACAGAAAACAGAATGCCTGACTTCTGCGTTGTTACATGCAGTATGAAACTGCAAAAATAGTTTGAAGTTTTAATAGGATCCTGAATGTCGTCAACCACCAGAACACATTTGCATTTCAATAGGTATGGGGACAGAATGTATGCCGCTAGCCAAAGGCAACCTCATTTTCCCTTTCCACTCTATCCTTCATAGTTCACTGTAATCGAGCCCCTCTGCTTTTGTTCTAGCTTTGCCTGTCCCCAGGAATTCTAAATGAATTCCTTACCCTTCTGCATTGATCTCTAATGCTAAGCTGCCTAACTATAGCCATTCCTTTTAGGAGCATCATTAACATGGAGTGCTAATTGTCTCTGTGCTCACTCTCAATGCCAGCCTTACCTGAAGGAGACTTCGGACACCATCTCTGAAACAGTCTGCTGCGACTGCAGCATAAAACGCCTTGACTTTGTTCTTTATAAGCCAGGCCTGTTTTTTAGCCATGCCAGTGTTCATCTCCTTAACACACAGCTTGCGTGGTCCCTGGATGACACAATGAAATATTGGTTAGAAGTCCTGCTATCACACATCACACTGCTGTTGTTTTCTAAAGGACAAAAATAGCCAGCAATGCCCTCTTGAGTTAGGAATTGGGACAGAGGGGAAAACACCTCCATAAATAGGTTCACACTGATTCAACCTTTTGGAGAACACCTGTGTTGCTCACATTATTCACTTTTCACCCCAAATATCCAGGCTTATTAACACCTGCTTAATTAACTGACTTACGCTGAATGAAAGGAAGAGTTGAGAGTATCCTTGGAACACCAGGGAAGGACTGAAAATGTGATTGAAGGGGCTCGGGATAAATATACAACCAACCTTTGACTCAACAGCAAGAGCCACTTTTAAGCACACCAAAGAAATCTCAGTGAGAGCCCAATTTCAAGAAATGGACAGAGCACTTGGAGCCAGAACAAGGTGAGCTGCAAATCCTGCCATGCGCTGCACATATTGACAAATGATACAAAGGCTTTTTGTGTGGTAAGAAAACCCTGGAAGCACTTTTCCCTGTGTAGTATTGATACACTTCCATTCAAGTAAATTAACATCTCCTTCTCACTCCATGAATTTGGTGGAACAAAAATTCACATATCTATGATAAAAATGTTTTAGAAAAGACTAAGAGAAAAGGAAGCAGGTGTAATGGTAGGCAAGGCATTTTATAATTTCAAAATTTAGTTCTGGAGATAAATTTTCAACTAAAAATTCTATTCTTACTTTTCCTTCCATGCTTTAATTCATTTCAAAAGGTATTTTGGTGAATTACACCTGTAATCCCACCTATTTGAGAGACAGACTGTTCCCAGACAAAAAGCAAAAGGAAAAAAAAAAAAGGGAGGCACCGTATCTGAAAATAACTAAAATAAAAAGGGCTTAACAAGCATCAGTCTCTGAGTTCAAACCCCAGTACTGCCAAAAAAAATTAAAAAATAAGCAAATTAGCCGGATTCTAGTAGTTCATGCCTGTAATCCTAGCTACTCAGAAGGCGGAGATCAGGAGGATCACAGTTTGAAGCCAGCCCAAGGCAAATAGTTTGAGAGACCCTATTTAGAAAAACCCTTCACATAAAAGGGCTGGTGGAGTGGCTCAAGGTGTAGACCCTGAGTTTAAGTCCCAGTACAGCAGAAAAAAAGAAAGAAAGAAAGAAAGAAAAAGAAACAAACAAAAGATATTTCTGATTTAGAATTGACAGGGGACAAATCTACTATTTTCCCAGGAAATTCTTCCAATTCACAAGGAGATTTGTAGTTTGCTTAGATGTCTTAGATTTCAAATGAATCATTTGGGATCTTGATAAAATGTGCTCTGTGGTTCTGGAATGGAGCTCAGTGTCTGCCTTTCTGACAGGCTTCTAGGGAAACAAAATGCTGACTGACAGTCTTAGTGGGTCTTTGATGGAAGAGAAAGTACATTGAGATGTATGAAAAAGAATCCAGCCTTTGTGACCAAACAGAACTAGTCGAAAATCTAAGCTTCACCGTTTTGGAGGCCATTAATCTCCTCTGAACTTTGAAATGTTATTCTGAAAATAAGGCTAAAATCTCTTTGCTGCATGATTGTCTTGAGCAGTAATAATAAGGCATCTAGTTCTACATTAAAAGTAGTAGGTTCATATCCAAAGCTGATTTTGTGATCCTAAGTGAGTACTCATCATCTCATTTAAGCCCCCGATCTAATTCAACCACTGTGTTTTATAAGAGAACTGAAAGGATGGTGAACTGGGAGTCAGGGAGTTGGGTTTAAGTCTGGCTCTGGCACTGACGAGCTGATACCTGTGTGCATTGTCTTTCTTGACGTATGCCCTATAACTGCCCAGGTTACCACTGCCCAGTAATGCAGCCCTACCCACGTGTTGCTATTGAGCATTGGAAATGTGGCTAGTCCAAATTGAGAGATAGTGGAAGCATAAAATATATAATGTTCTATTTTTCATTGTGATATCTGTAGCACGCATATAATGTTCTTTGATAAAATTCACCCATCTATACTACTTTTTCTTCCCAGCCCTCCCCTCCCTTTTTAACAATTTTTAGTGGGCTTCATTGTGCTATTTTCATACATAGATGTAATGTATTTCCACATTACTCACCCCCTGATACCTTCTCCTTTCCTCCTCCTCCTACCTGCTGGTTCCCCCCTAAAATACATAATGTATCTTGGAGCTTTAGTATAAAAAGAATGTAAAATATCTCATTAATATTTTTATGTTGATTGAATAGTGAAATATTTTAGATGGGTTGGGTGAAATAAATTATTAAAAATAACTTCACCCATTTCTTTTTAATCTTTATAATTGGCCACCAGAAAAATTTTAAATTATATATGTAGCACATTTTATTTCTATTACACAACACAAGTTGAACTCTGAGGTCCATTTGGCCCTTAATATTTTGCTTAAATTGAGGTAAGTTCTTTACATATTATTATCAAGTATATTTTTTAGAACATGCCAGTCTCCAAAAGAATTTTCCTGATTTACATTAAAGTTAAAAAACAAGAACCGTCAATTAAGACAGAAGAGGTAGAGATAAAGGGAGAATAATTATTAAATAGGAAGACCTGGACTAAAGAATAATAAGCTATTATGGATGAACCGTCAGTCCTTCCTTGAACATTCTAGACTCCTACTACAAAGGACAGCTTTGTAGTAGACACCTACTAAAAAGGAAGGGAAGAAGGAATGTTTTACTGAATGAAGTTCAATGGAACAACAATCGTTAGATAAAGAATAACCAAGAGCTAAGAAACACGTGGGATCATCGGTATATTGAGTTGTGCCACAATGACTGTGAGTCCCGGGGGGGGAAAATGGAACTTGTTTAAATAAATACAATGAAATGTATGTCTCTTCATATTATAAAAATCCAGATTAAACATTAATTGTGACAGAGAGATTTATTTTATGACTAAATTTGCCATACTGAGAAGTCATAAAAATATTTCATGCAGAATCCTAATACCCTTGTAGCACAGTTATTAATGTGGAGAAGGCTATAATGCAAATGTAGTAAGGACAAAGAAAACTAAGAAAGAGGGAAGACATCCTGGAATACAATTATTAACATTCATATATGTCATAATAACAAAAATGGACTTTGTCACCCAATCAATTCATTATAGAGATTAGCTTCAGTCAGCACTCCAAAATATGAGTACCTAAATTAATTCAGGATTTGAACAAAGAAACTTTAAAAAATCTTGTATACATTATAACTTGGACAATTATTGAGAAAGGGGTAAAGAAATTCTAATTAATTAGTCTGGAGAAGAAGTTAATACGAGACTACCTCAAATAAATGAGTATTATGAAAGAGTTTTGCAGAGTTCTAACACCATTAAGACCAAAGAAAGGAATGTGGGCCAAATGCAATGTTCTTTGTGAATTTTATTTCTTCAAATGTTGAGAGTCTTACTTGTCTGGCTTTGTTTTCATTGCTTCTCTGTTTGGAACAGTGAGATAGAGAATTTTTTCCTTCTCTGATTTGCTCCATGTTTCATCTCAACATGCATTCTAGTGCCCATTCATGGGTCACTTCATTCTTTCTGTCTGTGGTCATGTCGCTGTTTTATTGACATCATGACAGAGGCTCACTGACAAGGAAAATAAATGCATCTAAAAATAATGCATTTTCTTCTTGGTAGGTTTGAGAGTTGGGATTAAAAGAGGAGACTGAAGAGAGAACTAAAAAACCAACAGTTTAGTTTCTTCTGGGTTATTTGGGCTTGAACTGACCTCCATTATGCCATGTAGTTAGGATATGGTTGTCAATCTCTTGAGTTTACTTGAGAACTTCTCAAAGAGAAAATTCAAAGAGAACTTTAGGTTTTATTAAGATATTCTATAATCGTGCCTGTAATCCGAGCTTCTGTACAGGTGAGGTCTGGAGTATTTGCAGTTTGAGGCCAGGTTGGGCAAAATGTTCACAAGACTCATTCTCAATCAATAAAAGCCAGGTGAGGGGCTCAATGGTAGAGTGCTTGTCTAGCAGGCATGAGGCCCTGCGTTCAAACTTCAGTACCATAAAAAAAAAAAAAAATCAAATGCTGGGCAAGGTGGTACATACCTTGCCAGAGGAGGATCATGGCATAGGTAGGAGGAAAGATAGGAGGATCATGGTCTAAGGCTGACTCCAATTAAAAACACCCGACAAGCCAGGTGCCCGTGGCCCATGCCTGTAATCCTAGCTACTCAGGAGGCAGAGAGCTGGAGGATTACGGTTCAAAGCCAGCCCAGGCAAATAGTTCACAAGACCCTATCTAGAAAAACCCATCACAAAAATAGGGCTGGTAGAGTGGCTCAAGGTGAAGGCCCTGAGTTCAAGCCCCAGTACTACAAAACAAAACAGAACAAAGAACAGAACCCTACCAGATCTTATCTGAAAATAACTGAAATGAAAAGATCTGGTGCATGGCTGAAGTGGTAGAGCACCTACCTAGCAAAGCACAAGGCCCTGAGTTCAAACCCCAGTACCTCACACAAGAAAGATATTTTACAAATTTTCAGAAAAAAAGAGAATGGGTAACAAAGGAAGGGTTAAGTGTTGTTAGGAAGAGATCTACATGAGGACACTGGACATATCCTTTCCCCTTTATAATGGGAAGAAAGAGAGGACAAAATTCAAGGTAAGAGTAGAGAGTAGGAAGAATGTGAATCAGAGTACATTTGCATCTTTGTGTACATGTGTAAAGTTATGAAAGTACCCATAACACTAGATAATCTTGCTTCTGGAGAGAGAGAACCAAGGGTCTGAAGTAGTAATAGAGAGGACTTTAGTTTGATCTGTAATGGATTATTTCATATAAAAGTGAGTGGCCAAAAGGAAAAAAAAAAGTGAGTGACCAAAAATCTAAAAATAGAGCTACCATAGACTCTGCTATACCACCCTTGGGTATATACCTGAAGGAAGTAATACAACACACATTAAAGAAAGTCAGCATATAGTAGAGACAGTTGCACACCATGTTTATAGCAGCACTG